AGATACCGAACGACCGCCTGCCAGGAGAGAGTGTGAGGAAATTTGTGACAAGGAAAATAACGTTGTCGTAACAATAGGCCCCTCTTCACCCTTTTGCTGTCTTGTATTTGATGTACAAACATAGATACCATAAAACTATTTACGTTTTTCTTTGTCAGGTCTTATCTTGAGGATATATACTTAAAATTTCCATGTAATATGTATGCAAGTATTAATGGTAATTGAGAGGGATTGTAAAGTACAAAAACAAGAACAACAAAAACTATATTGCAACATGGTATTAAATCAGACGTTCGTTTTAAATACGATAAGCAAGTTTAGTAATTTTCCATAGCAATGGGGGATTTATAGATAAAAATATCTTTAATATCGGAAGAAAATGTCGAAAGAAATGTCATCGGAAAAAATATCTGTAGAAAGAGCTTTCGATGTTAATAGCAAGACTTTGCTGCATACATAATTTAAAAAAATGGAATTTTCAAAAAAATGTTTATTTAAAATTTAAACTAATAAACACTTCTTACAAATATATATTTTTTAAAATCCACGTATATATATATATATTATAAACTATTATATACATCTCGAAAAATATTATTTCAAGTAATATACTTTTTTAATTCAAAAATAAATATTTTTGAAAAAGAAACCTGTTCGATGTCAGAGTTATATATTAGAGTGCTGTTCACATAACAGTTTCCAATTTTTATACCCTTCACCACACTGTGATACAGGGTATTATGTCTTTGTGCATATGTTTGTAACAGGCAAAAGGAAACGAGATAGACACATGGTTCCTTTGGAGGATATGCATAGAATCATTTTTTAAGTCGATTTATGCATGTCCGTCCGTCTGTTGGTGTTAAATTGTAAACAAAGTACAGGTCGCATTTATAATCCGATTTGGATGAAATTTGGCACAGCTCACTTGTTTGGCCCAAGGGCGAACCCTATTGAAATTGGGAAAAATCGGTTCAGATTTAGATAAAGCTCCCATATATATTTTCGTCCGATTTAATGTAAATGGTGTACCAAAGTCCCTATATATGCTTCGATTTGCACGAAATTTGGCATAACGTAATGAATTAGATCTGGAATGGTGTGTGTTAAGTTTCGAGAAAATCGGTTCAGTTTTAGATATAGCTCCCATATATATTTTCGTCCGATTTATAGTAAATGGTGCATCAAAGTCTCTATGCATCTTTCGATTTGCATGAAATTTGGCATAGCGTACTGAAATAAGCCTACAAGTTTCGAGAAAATTGGACCAGATTTAGATATAGCTCCCATATATAGTTTCGTCCGATTTCATGTAAATGGTGCACCGAAGTCCCTACATATCTTTCGATTTGGGCCTAGAGTGATGTCTGCCAAGTTTCGAGAAAATCGGTCCAGATTTAGATATAGCTCCCATATATATTTTCGTCCGATTTAATGTAGATGGTGTACCAAAGTCCCTATATATCTTTCGATTTGCACAAAATTTAGCATAACGTACTGAATTGAGCCTAGAGTGATGTCTGCCAAGTTTCGAGAAAATTGTTCCAGATTTAGATATAGCTCCCATATACAGTTTCGTCCGATTTTATGTAAATGGTGCACCGAAGTCCCTACATATCTTTCGATTTGCACGAAATTTGGCATAGCGTACTGAAATAAGCCTACAATGATGTCTGCCAAGTTTCGAGAAAATTGGCCTAGATTTAGATATATCTCCCATATATAGTTTCGTCCAATTTCATGTAAATGGTGCGCCAAAGTCCCTATATATCTTTCGATGTGTACGAAATTTGGCATAACGTTCTGAATTGAGCCTAGAGTGATGTCTGCCAAGTTTCGAGAAAATTGCCCCAGATTTAGATATAGCTCCCACATATATTTTCGTCCGATTTTAGGTAAGTAGTGCACCAAAGTCCCTTTAAATCCTTCGATTTGCACGAACTTTGGCATAGCACGAAATTTGGCTAAGTTTCGAGAAAATCGGCTCACATGTATATATAGCTCCCATATATATTTTCGTCCGATTTAATGTAAATGGTGTACCAAAGTCCCTATATATCTTTCGATTTGCATGAAATTTGGCATAGAGTTCTGAATTAGGTCCAGCATGATGTGTGCAAAGTTACGTGAAAATCGGTTCAGATTTAAATATAGCTCCCATATATATTTTCGCCCGATTTAAGATAAACGGTGTACCAATATTCCATATATATCTTTCGATTTGGACGAATTTTGTCATAGCGTAGTGAATAAAGTTTGTCAGATTGCCACACAACTTTATACAATGAACTGTAGTTAATAGAAATTAATCACTGACAAGTCTCTTTGAAATCGGTTCAGATTTTGATATAGGTGTACCAAACTGACCAAATGAAAAATTTAATATAGGTTGCAGAATGACATGTTTATGGCTCAAATTTCATTTTACTGGTCCTTAAAAAATGCGACGTCTATTAGGATACATCTGTTGAATATACCCAAAGTGGTGAAGGGTATCATATAGTCGGCCCCGTCCGGCTTTACTATTTTCCTTACTGGTTTTCTCTTTTCATACTTCAAATATATTTTACATAATGTATGAGTCATATTTAAAAAAAAAAATCTTGTTCCATAACAATTTTTCTTATAGAAAAGTGGTTCGATAACAATTTTTCCTTTACAAAAAGTATCGATAACAACTTTTTGTGCAGAAAAGTCGATAAGAGCATTTCCTGTAGCAAGATTTTTCTTTAAAGAGAGCTGTCCGCCAACTATCGACTTCTACACTTCGACTATACAATTTTTTTCCATAACAACATTGTGTATAAAAAAATGTGTTCGATAACAAAATTTTCCGTTGAAGTACAGTAGATATCGTATATAAGAAATTCAATAAAAGTCGGAGATTTCTTTCTTATATGCGCTTTTTTTCTTGTATGGAATTATCGGATATAAGAAAGTATAAGCTCGGTGTTTTTGATAATCTTTCTTATGTGCGATTTTTTCTTATATGAGATGTTCTTATATCCGATATCTACTGTAATACACCTCCTATTATGGGACTTTGCTGAAGGAAATCCTTTCTTAAATCTCTTCCCTTTCCCTTAACATTGCGGAAACAAAGTAATATCTCCAAGTATTTTTTTGTAATTTTTAACAAGTCATATCCCAGATAGTTGTTGTTGTTGTTTGTTTATGTTTCCTAGTCGTTCTTTTTGCATATAAATTAGCATTAATAGATAGCAACAACAACATTCATGTCCTGTCTAAAATGCAACAACATCAACTATGCACTAGGCAAGGGAAGAAAAAAATGACAAACAATTCCCTTTTCGGTTTGTTTGTTGGTGCATGCATATTTTATTTTGTCTTATTGTTGTTGTTGTTTTACCTTTCACTCTGTTTGTAATATTCATCTGCCAGAGTTATAAACGTCAGTTGGTATGTCTTGCCAGCCATCCATCCATCCACCCATCCAAACAAGGCATCCTGGTTGTTAGATGCACGACTGACGGACCGAATGAATGAAGAATGCAAGGCTAAATGTTTGCTACCTGTTTTCAGTTTCTTCTAAATCATCAACTTTTAGTTCGTCTTCGTTGTTGTAATTCTATATTGGAGAGGCAGGCAGGCTGGCAGGCAGTCAGGACAAGTCAACTAAACAACCACTAACTAATAGTTTTAAAAGTTGTTTTATGTTCTTGCTGTTGGGTGTTGTATTTGTGTGTGTGTGTTTGAAGGTTCATACCATGCAAGTTTGCTAGGAGTTATGAAAGAGGGCTAGCTTGTTGAGTGCCATGGACACGTGGATAGTTAAAGGGAGTCGGAGCTGTCATGTTTCGGTTGCATTAGGTAGGACCCCACCTTGTAGTGTTGGACAAACAAGTACAAAAAAAACAAAAACTAAAGAATTTTTCTTGTCAAGTTTGAAATACTTAAGAATTTTTTTTTTGCTTTTAATGATAGTAAGGAAAACTGCAACGAAAAGAAAGTACAGTGGGACAAAATGTGGTAAATTGGAAAAAATAGAATTTATATAAACAATAATTTTGAAATGAGAGGCTTTAAACCTCTGGACTTTTTCTTTGAGACCAGAGAAAATGATTTGTGAGCGATATATTTTCTCTCTTTGCTTAATCGGCCCACAGTATTCCATTCCGAACAATGTTAAGACACCTCTACCTTGCCATCATCCTGGCTATATGGAGTTGTTGTTACTGCAGCAGCAGCAAAAAATTATTCATTCATTCATTCACTCGTTTCAGTAAGACATTAAAAATGCTAATTAGAAAGAAAAATAATAAGTTTTACATTTTATATTCTTTCAATGAAATTTTGTTATGCAAAGTGCAGATGAAAGGTGAAGACGACGAACAAGAACTGCAACAGCAACAACAACAACAAAAAAGTGAATTTATAAAAATTTACTTCATTACTGAATTTATGCATGACATCGTGGTGAAAAGGTTTTTTATTGTTTGAACGTTTAAGTTTTCTGGTGAGTTATGGGGGAAAATTCAGGACGATAGAAAAATATGCAAAAGGGAAATTATTGAAGAGTGGGTGGGAGAAAGAAGGAGAGGATGCTGTCTGAGAGAGAAATGTGCAACTGAGGGTCTATAAGGATAGGAGAGTACGGGGTTGATTGTAAGAGAAATGTCTATCAGGATTTTTTATTATTATTTTGTGTGAGGATGGGACAAGAAGATGTTATACTAAGAAGATCGATATCGGAGAAAATTGTCTTTAGGAACAGTTGTCATTAATCGTATCTATACAAAACGTTTTATCGATAGAAATAACTAAAAACAAATTTGTTATCGAACAATTTTTCTATAGAATGGGTTGTTATGAGTAAATTTTATTTATCGATAAATGTTTTTGTGGTATAAATCTTGATTTTTTATTAATTTTTTTATTTTATTTATTTTGTTTTTTTTTTTTGTGGAAAAAAAAACTTGTTTTATCGAATTTTTCCAAAGTTTTATCGATAAACCTTTTTGGTGAAATTGTATTATAGAACAACTTTTCTATAGAAAACGTTGTTATCGAACAACTTTCCATAGGAAATGTTGTAATCGAACAACTTTTCTATAGATAATGTTGTTATCGAACAACTTTTCTATAGAAAATAATGTTATCGAACAACTTTTCTATAGAAAAGGTTGTTATCGAACAACTTTTCTATAGAAAATGTTGTTATCGAACAACTTTTCTATAGAAAAGGTTTTTATCGGAAAACTTTTCTATAGAAAAGATTGTTATCGAACAACTTTTCCATAGGAAATGTTGTAATCGAACAACTTTTCTATAGAAAACGTTGTTATCGTAACTTTTCATAGAAAATATTGTTATCAACTTTTCTAAAGAAAAGGTTGTTATCAAACAACTTTTCTAAAGAAAAGGTTGTTATCGAACAACTTTTCTAAAGAAAAGTTTGTTATCGAACAACTTTTCTAAAGAAAAGGTTGTTATCGGACAATTTTTCTAAAGAAAAGGTTGTTATCGAACAACTTTTCTAAAGAAAAGGTTGTTATCGAACAGCATTCCTTAATAAAAGGGTGCTATCGAACATCTTTTCTATAGAAAAGGGTGCTATCGAACAACTTTTCTATTGAAAAGGTTGTTATCGAACAACTTTTCTATTGAAAAGGTTGTTATCGAAAAACTTTTCTATAGAAAAAATTGTTCGAAAACAACCTTTTCTATAGAAAATGTTGTTATCGAACAACTTTTCTATAGAAAATGTTGTTATCGAACAACTATTCTATAGAAAAGGTTTTTATCGAAAACATTTTATCGAACAATTTTCTATAGAAAATGTTGTTATCGAAGAACTTTTCTATGGAAAATGTTGTTATCGAACAGCTTTTCTATGAAAAATGATGATATCGAACAGCTATAATATAGAAAAGATTGTTTTCGAACAACTTTTTGTTGTGATCGATCCACTTTTCTATAGAAAAAGTTGTTATCAAAGAATTTTTCTATGGAAAATGTTGTTATCGAACAGCTTTTCTATAAAAAATTATGCTATCCAACAGCTATAATATAGAAAATGTTGTCGTTATCGAACAACTTTTTTATAAAAAATGTTGTTATTTTCTATAGAAAAATTTTCCTAAAGAACATGTTGTTATCAAACAACTTTATTAAAGAAAAAGTTGTTATCGAAAATGTTTTCAATAGAAAAAATTGTTATCGAAGATTTGCAATGTTGTTATCAAAGAATTATTTTATAAAAATGTTATTATCGAAGATTTTTTCTATAGAAAATAATGTTATCGAAGAACTTTCATATAGAAAATGTTGTTGTCAAAACCTCTTCTTACTGAAAATGTTGTTATCCAGCAAAATCGATGTAAACATTTTTGTCATCGGTCTTAATCCAGAAGTACTTATTAATCCCATTTTAATACCATGTTCCATTGTGTGTCCTCCATCGGTGTTTTTTCCACGCAAACAATAGTTAATGTGTCAGAAATGTTAATAAATATCCATATAAATTGCTGTTACATTAACACATTTACATATTTATTCTGCGATTAAAAAAATACAACAACAGCAACAACAAAAGAAAGTGCATTGTGAACACACACACACAGGCACACAATTTAACCATCATAATTGTATTAATTCACAAAAGTGTAGCTGTGTGTGTGTCAATTCTCCTTTGGCAATAAAAAGTTGTTATTGTCATGTTTTCTGTTGTTGTTGTCGTTGTTGCTATTGTTGTTGATGAGGCCATTCTTAAAGCCTTTTATTGTCATTCATCAAAATGTTGTTGGAATACAGGCAATGGAAAATCCTTTGCCAACGAGAACGAGTAGATAATAAACACATTGTTGCATATTACTCACATATTCACACACACACATGCATATACGTAGTTGCCACACATGATGTCACTTCAACGTGCAATGACCGAATTGTAATCCGCCATGCAGCAAAACAGCCGAGTAAAGGATGTAAATGCCAGTTTATAAATGGAACTGACACCCGAGCCGACTTTCTTTGCAAAGATTTATGTTTTTTTTACAAAAAAAGGAACACAGTGAAACCCACAGAATTACATTGCCACACATCCCTGCCACAAGTGACGATGCCACAAAACATATGCACCAAACAATGCATGAATTCTGTAATTTGGTACTTCACATAATAACAAATCCTTTGTCCTTTTTTTCTTTCCCTATATACCCAGTTTTATTTATATACTACATGTGAGAAATGAAAATAAATTATGGGAAATACACTGAAGAAAAAATTATTTCAATTCAATATTCAATATGTTCTGAGACCTATGTTCCTCAAGCTACAGAACCATTAACAAATCTAATCCATAAGCTCCAATTCTTCCCTGGAAAATAGTTCTTTGGTTCTAATTTAAAAATTTATCTGAAAGGCCATTCATTTCTCTCTGTGTATTTTATTCCCATCTTACTCTTGCAAAGCTTAAAAAAATACACACACATTAATTTTTCAAGAAGCACACACACACACACATCCACCCACATTTCAGCCGACAATAACAAGATGCAATCTCCATATTACAACATAATAGTAATTACTTATGTAAAATAACAAAAAAATGAGACATTGCAACACCAACTGCAACAATGGCAACAACAATGCCAATGATGACAAAAGGACATGCAACAAAAACAACAAAACAATGACAACATCAGCAACAATTTTTTAACAGCAATAACTTTTAATTTATTTTTATTGTTACACTTCAATTGAGAGAACTGTGAATGTGTGTGTGTGTGTTTGAATTGACAAGTATAAAAACAACAACAACTACAACAACACACTTGTAATTTACATTTACTTAAACATGTAAATAAAGAGGCTGATCCCATTTTTACACTTATCACAGCTCCATTTTTTTTTGTGAATGTTCGGAACGACTCGGTTCCCTATCGCCTCCTCGTCCTTTTCAGCATATTAAACAATGTTGTTTAATGACAATCCTCCATTGTTTGTATTGTTGTTGAGAATATGTGTGTGTATATATGCATATGTGTGAGTGTATTTGTATGACTGTTGAATAATAAAAGATGAGTGCCGATGACAAGAAGAGATGTATGGCCATAAGAGAACATCTCTTAACTGCATTAAATTAATGGATGATTTAATGTGACAATATGTATGTAAATTAATTAAGAACTGGCACAAAATGAATAAGAAGGCGATAGACATAATTTTTGTAGGAGAAGAATAAAATTGTAGTTTCATGAGAGGGAGAGAATTTTCCATTAAAATATTTCGATAAGAAAATTTTTTCTGAGAATGGAATTCGATATGAATGTCTTCTATGGGAAACATTTTGGATTTCAACATTCTCTATGGAAAATTCATACAATAACAATATTTTTTTGAATCGATAACAACATTTTCTATACAAAATTTATTCGATAACACTATTTTTTATATAATAGTTATTCTATAACAATCTTTTCTGTTTAAAAGCTAATTCGATAAGAAAGTTTTTTTTATAGAAAAATAGTTGCATATCCCTATTTTCCATATATAAACATTTTTCGATAACATTTCTTTTCAATAGAAAAAATAATTCGATAACAATAGTTAATATAGAAAAATTGTCCGATGAAGATTTTTTTCATCGATAACAATTTTTTTTAGTAACAAGTTGTTCAATAGCAGCATTTTCTGTATAAAAGTTGTTCGATAACGATATTTTCTATAGAAAAGTTGACAACATTTTCAATAAAAAAAATCGTTCGATAATAGGTTTTTCTATAAAAAAATGTGTTTGATAACACAATTTTCATTGAAAGTAGTTATCGATAACAACATTTTCGAGAAAAATTGCTTGATAAAAAATCTTCTATCGAAATGAATTTATAATTAAGAAAGTTTTCTCCAAAAACTTGTTCGATAACAACATTTATTATCGATAACAAATTTTGTATGTAACAAATATGATCAATAATAAGATTTTCTAACGATATCAATATTTTTTTTGAAGTTGACCAATAACACAATTTTTTATCGAAAAGTTGATTTAAAACAACATTATCGATATAAAAGTTAAACGATAGTAAATTTTGCTACAATAAATTTTATCGATAACAATATATTCCATATAGAAATAAAATCAATAACAAAAATTTTCTGCAGGAAAGTTGTTCGACAACAATTAATCGATATCATTTCGATAGAAAATACCAACGATAAAACTATCAGATTTTGGAGATACTGTCGATAACAACATTTTATGATGAAAATGTTATCTATAACAAAATATCGATATCATTTTCGATAGAAAATACCAACGATAAAAATATCATCTTTTGGAAATACTATCGATAACAACATTTTATGACGAAAATATTATCTATAACAAAATTTTTCACACAAAATAACATCGATAACAACATTTGGAATACAAAATGTCATCGATTACAATAGTTCCATTTAAAAATGCCATCGATAAGATTTTTTGAAGAAAATATCGATAATAACATTCTCTATAAAAAATGTCATCGATAACAACATTTCATATAGGGAATGTTGATATCGATAACACTTTTTCTGTTAAAATGTCATCGATATAAACATTATCTATAGAAAATGCAATTGATGCTCTTTTGAAAATTCTATCGATAACAACATTTCATGTTGAAAATGGCATCGATAACCAATTTCTCTCGAGAAAATGTCATCGATAACAAATTTTTCTCTAGAAAATACTATCTATAACAACCTTGGGAACAAAATGTTATCGATAACAACATTTCTATTGAAAATTCTCTATTGAAAACATGTTCGATACCACGTTTTTCTGTTAAAAATTCAACTTGTGGAATAGAAAAAGTCGTCGATAACAAAATTTCCTGTTAAAAATTCCTTCAATAACAATTGTTTTAAAGAAAACATTGTCGATAACAGAATCCTCTTTAGAAAATGTCATAGATAAAAACATTTTCTATTGACAACTTTTTCGATAACACCTTTTTCTGATGAAAATGACATCGATAACAACATTACATATAGGAAATGCAATCGGTAATAGTTTGAAAATGATATCAATAACAACATTAAAAATTGAAAATGTTATCGATAACAAAATTTTCTCTAGAAGATACCATCGACAACAGCCTTTGGGATAAAACATTTCATCGATAATTTCATGAAAACGTCGTCGATAATATATTTTCCTCTAGAAAAAAATCATCGACATCAAACTTTGGTATAAAAAGTATCATTGATAACAACTTTTCGTGTTAAAAATAACAACAATTTTTTAAGAAAATATTATCGATAATAACAATCTCTATTCAAAACATGTTCGATAAATCGATAACATCATTATCTATAGGAAATGCAATCGATAACAATATTTTCAAAAGAAAATGTCATCGACAAGAACAATTTCGGTGGAAAGCGCCATCGATAACAACATTGTGTACAGAAAATGTCATCGATAACAATTTTCCTTTGCCATCGATGACAAAATTTTTTATAAAAATTTCAACGATAACACTTTTTTTAAGAAAATAGTATCGCTTATAACATTTTCTATTAAAAAAAAAACATGTTCGACAATATTTTTTTTCTGTAAAAAATATCATCGAAAACAACATTGTCTACAGTAAATACAGTAGAAAGCATCATTGATTAAAACATTGTGTTCAGAAAATGTCATCGATAACAACATTGGGCACAGAAAATACCATCGATAACAGTATTTCTTATAGAAGATACCACCGATAACGATATTTTCTATAAAAATGTCATAGATAACAACACTTTTTATAGATAATCCTATCGATAATTATATTTTCTATAGAAAAATTCAAAAACAAAAAACATTTTGGATAGAAAAATTTGCATCGATGACAATATCTCAATAGAAAATCCATCGATAACAAAATTATCTTCAAATACTGGTAACCATAATACAATTTGCTGTAGAAAATTTATTCGATAACATGACACCCTGCAGAAAGGTCATAGATAAAAAAAATTGTCTATGGAAAATCCATCGATAACAACATTTTCTGTTGAAAATCCATCGATAACAAGATATAATAAGAAGTTTCATCGATAACCATATTTTAGATAACATTTTTCGTCGCATAAAAATTTCCCCAGCTGTTTGGTGGCGTACCTTCTTTATCCTTCTGAAGATTCTTACCCAAAAAACCACGAATTTGTTCCACCCAAAACGAGTCCTTAAGTTCCACCCAAAAAGAATCCTTTGATGACAAAAGTAACATATCCTTTGTGTCAACTTTGCACTTTGACATGACTGCAGCCAGGTGAAACAAGCGCTAATTACCACCTACCTTTTTCACTCATTACGGAGGTTCCTTCAAAAAGAACAACGGCTTTCTTTTTACCACACAAATTCATTTTTTGGTTGCCATTTAGTCTTCACTTTCTCCCTTCCACTCGCCCTCTCCGTTTGACATTTCCCATTAAAATTCCACAAGGAAAAGAATTATGTGACACTGTTCCTTTGTTTAGGCCTGTAATGAATGCCTCCGGTTTTAGGCAAATATTTATTAACATTTCCATCACTTTTGGCTTCAGTTGTTGGTCTTTTTTTCTTCCTTTCTTTGCTTTGCTTTCTCCTGCAATGAAGGCATTTCATTATAGCCAGCAAGTTATCCTTTAGCATATATCCTTGCTGGCATAGCAAGTATTGCAGAGACTGCGAGACATGCCAGCCGCCAAATGAAGAACTTAGTCGGAATCCTATCCCAGATAAAGACATCTATGAGACATTAAAAAGGCATCTCCTAATTATATTAAAAAATGGAAAAAGAGAAGACTTTCTTGTTTAAATAAAATGAATGAAAGAAAATAGCTGAAGTAATAAAATGCTCAACTGCAGAAGAAAAAGAGGAAGAAAAAAAAACAACAAAATAATATGCCAAAGATAATATAAAGTTGAAAGTGAGAAAAACTTATGTAAATACCACTGGCAAAGACACAATCCCTTCTTCTTTTCTTCTTGGTGGGAAGAGGGGAAATGTAACTCCATTTAGCAGTAGCTTGGCATGGCATGACAATGCCAGTAAATTGTATTTTATTTGCTTGTGTGAAGCAGCTGTGTGCAATGAAAGAAAGGCGAAGGGAGAGGAGCAGGAAGAAGGAGCTGAAGCTGCAGCATCACTATCTGTATGTATATGTGGTTTAATAAGGGAATTTTATAAGTGGCTGCCTGCAATTGTAAATGTCGTGTAGAATAATTCTGCCAAGAGGCTGACTGGCTGGTTGGCTGGCTGACTGTTATGGCCAAAGTCAAAGAAGGAACTTCAACAAAGGAAAGAACCCAGAACTAAATGTAAATTAAATGCAATACATTTTATTCTGCGTTGTTGTTGTTGTTATTTTTTTGTTGAAATAATGTCGCTTATGAAATACACTGAAAAGAAAAGTGATCGATAACAACAATTTCAATAGAAAATGTTGTCGATAACAACATTTTCTATGGAAATTGGCATCGATAACAACATATTCTATGGAAATTTTCATCGATAACAATACTTTCTATAAAAAATGTAATCTATATCAAAACTTTCTAAAGAAAATGTTATCGATAACAACATTTTTTATAGAAAATGTCATCGATGACAACGATATCTAAAGAAAAATACAATGTATTCTAGAGAATATTACATCGATAACGACATTTTCTATAAAAATGTCATCAATAACAACAATTTCTACAGAAAATATTATCGATAACACAATTTTCTATAGAAAATGTTATAGATAACACAATTTTCTATTAAAAATGTTATCGATAACACAATTTTCTGTATAAAATGTTATCGATAACAAAATTTTCTATAGAAAATGTTATCGATAACACAATATTCTATAGAAAATGTTATCGATAACAATATTTTCTATAGAAAATGTTACCGATAAATGTTAAAATAACAATATTTTCTATAGAAAATATTATCGATAACAATATTTTCTATAGAAAATATTATCGATGACAATATTTTCTATAGAAATTATTATCGATAACAATATTTTCTATAGAAAATGTTATCAATAACACCATTTTTTATAGAAAATGTTATCGATAACAACATTTTCTATGAAAAATTGCATCGATAACAACATTTTCTATAGCAAATGTTATCAATAACACCATTTTCTATAGCAAATTTTATCGATAACAATATTTTCTATGAAAAATTGCATCGATAACATCATTTTCTGTGACAAATGGCATCGATAACAATATCTTTTACGAAAAATGTCATCGATAACAATATTTACTATAGAAAATTTCATCATTTTCTATGAAAATTGGCATCGATAACAACATTTTCTACGACAAATGGCATCGATAACAATATATTTTACGAAAAATGTCATCGATAACAATATTTACTATGGAAAATTTCATCGATAGAAATATTTTCTATAGAAAATACTATAGATAGCAAATTTTTTTTATAGAAAATAACATCGATAACAACATTTTCTATTGAAAAAAACATCGATAATATATTTTCTATAGGAAATAATATATTTTCTATAAAAAATACCATTTTCTATAAATGTCAATATTTTATGTAATCGAAAAAATTTTCAACATCGATAGCAACATTTAAAAAAATAACATCGATAACAATATTTTCTAGAAAAAATAACTTCGATAACTACGTCTTCTAAAGAAAATTTTACCAATGGCAACAATTTCTATAAGAAATTCTCTCCATGTACCCTTTAAAAATAATTTTTATGCATAAAAATAATTCATGTAATCGATAACCACATTTTCATTAGAAAATGTCATCGATAACAACGTTCTCCACAGAAAATGTCAGCGAAAATAACATTTCCTATAAAATATACCATTGATAACAAAATTTTCTATAGGATAGATAAAAAATTATCGAAAACAATTTTTTTTAAAGAAAATGGTATCGATAACAAATTTTTCTATAGAAAATCTAGTCTATAACACTTTTTTTCAAGTTTTTCCCTCTTTCCGGATTTTCTCTCCATGTACCTTTTGTATACCATTAAAATACTGCGTAACTTGTTCTTAGCCCCCAAAGTTACTGGGTGCAGGACAACAACTAACTACTTTACATTATATGGGTGTAGACAAGATGTACATTTTATATTTGTTGTTGTAGTTTCCTCTGTAAATTTCATTTGTAATAATGCCACTTTAAGTCAGAACAATTGTCTGAATTTGTTTTGTTATGATAAATGGTTCTGTAGTAGCCGGCGTTTGTCGTCGTTTTCTTTTTCGCAGAATTTAATTATTTTCTGCAAACTTACAAAAACAACAACAGCAGCTAGAGCATGGTAATAAAATGCTCTATTGAGTGTAGAAAATGAATTTAATTAAAGTTGGTAATTACATTTGGGAATTGACATCATCAAGGAGTGTTCAAAGTCTCAGTTAAGAGTTTAAGTGTAAAGTAATAAACTTGAAAAAAAAAATATTTTATAAAATTAAAAAAAATACTAATTTTATATTAAAAAAAATAATTATTTTAAATTTTCTAATAAATTTTTATTTATTTTTTTTTTTTCTCATTACAGAAAATGCGTCAATTCCAAAAAGTCTTGGAAGACTTAAGTTCCCGCATTGCTTCCGCAGAGGCGACCAAAAATGCCTGGGTTGTCCCAGCCACCAGTGCCGAGGCCAGCGAACAATTGCAACATTTACAACGATTACGTGATAAGATGACCACAGCGGGTGCTCTACTCGATGACTGCAATGAACAGCAATCATTCTTTACAGCTAATCAGGTGCTGGTGCCAGCTAATTGCCTCTCGAAATTGGAAGATTTGAATACCAGGTAGGTGGAAGATTCGATAATGATGTTAATCCTTTGGAAACTTAAACGATAACAAGGATTTATATAGAAATCTGATCGATAACAACGATTTCTAAGAGAATCTTAATCGAAAATACATTTTTCTTTAAGAATTTTGATCGATAACAAAATTTTCTGTAGAAAATATTATCGATAACAATATTTTCTGCAGAAAATATTATCGATAACAACATTTTTTCTAGAAAATAATCGATAATTACATTTAATAGAAAACAATTGGCCAATAACTTGTTCGATAACATTGTTTTCTAACGAAATGTTTTTCGATAACAACATTTTCTAAAGAGAAATATAGAACATTTATCGATTACAATTTTTTTCTATACAAAACCCAATCGATAAATGTGTTTTCTATACAATATTTTATCGATAACAATACGTTTCCATATAAAACATGATCGTTAACAAAATGTTTTATTAAAATCTTGATTGATACAAATATTTCCTTAATAAAACTTTTTCGATGACTACTTTTTCGATATAAAACATTTCCGATAGCAACGTTTCCTATAAAATAGTTTTCGATAACTATATTTGTTAACAACGTTTTCTACAAAGAAATATAGAAACCTTTATCGATTACAATGTTTTCTATACAAAACCTAATCGATAACAGTATTTTCTATACAATATTTTATCGATAACAATATTTTTCAATATAAAACATGATCGATAACAAAGTTTTCTATAGAAATCTTGATTGATAAAATTATTTTCTTTATAAAACTTTTTCGATAACTACGTTTTCTATACAAAACATTTCCGATAACAGTAATTACTATCAAAAATGTTTCCCATAACCACGATTTCTATAAAATAATTTTCAAAAACTATATTGGTAAACGAAATATTTTTTCAGTTTTCTGAAGGGAAAAATTTAGATAACTACATTTTCTAACGTAAAATTTATCGATAAGACAATTTTCGATATAACTTGTGGTGGATAATGGAAACTTGTTCGATATTTATGTAATACCAACGTTTTCTAACGAAATATTTTTCGATTACAAAATGTTTAATAGTGAAAAATCGATAATTACAGTTTAAAGAGATCACTTGCCCGATAACAACGTTTCCTAACGAAATATTTCTCGATTACAATGTTTTCTATATGAGATGTCCTTCGATAACCACGTTTTTATAAAGAAAATTGCTTCGATAATTATGGTTACTACAGGAAATAAGTTCGGTAATTACGGTTAATAATGAAAATGTATACGAAAACCAACGACGCCTATAACAACGTTTTCTGTACAAAAATATATTCGATAACAAAATTAGCTTTACAAGAAATATTCGATAAACATATCTTCTACAGAATACTCAACAAAATTATCGATAGCATAGCTTTCTGTGTTCGTTATCAACATTTTCCGAAGATTGTTTTTCCGATAACAATGCTCCTTGAAAAAAATATTCAATAATAACTTCTTCTAAAAAACAGGATCGATAACAACATTTTATGTAGAAAACATAATCGATACCGATTTTTTCAATCAGATCACCAACGTATTTCTATTAAATCGTATCCATCTTCGTGTTTTATACAGAAATCGTTATCAATAACATGATAGTATTTTAATATCGAAATGATTCTCGATATTCTCTTTAAATAATTATGTTTACTCATTTCTGATATTTTTCGCTCATCTCTCGTTCTCTTTTTCCCTTGAATTCTCTCTAGAATGAAATTGCTGCACATTGCCATGGATGAACGTCAAAAGGTTCTCCTGAATGCTGGTGGCAATCAAAATATCGAAAATGGCGAAGATGGTCGATTGACATCGAACAGTGGCACAATTGGACCAATACCAAATCTGGGACAGAGTGTTAATCCACCATGGGAGAGAGCTACCACAGCTTCCAATGTGCCTTATTACATAGAGTAAGTTCAACACTCTTTCTCTCTTTTATACAAATATTATTTATTTCCTATTGCTTATGTTTCTCTCTCTCTCTCCTTAGCCACGAACGTGAAACCACCCACTGGGATCATCCCGATATGATTGAGCTGATGAAGAGTTTAGCTGATCTTAACGAAATCCGCTTCTCAGCCTATCGTACTGCCATGAAATTGCGTTCGGTACAAAAATCTCTAGCCTTGGATCGTATACCAATGGCCACAGCCATCGAATCATTCGATCGTCATGGCTTGAGGGCACAAAATGATAAATTAATCGATATACCCGATATGACAACTGTGCTGCATTCGTTGTACGTCACATTGGATAAAATCGATTTAACGAAACTGTTGGATTTAGCCATAAATTGGATATTGAATGTTTATGATTCTCAGCGTACCGGGCAGATAAGAGTGCTGAGTTTTAAGGTAAGTCGTGAGAGAGGTTTTACAAAAAGAGATTATTTGATTGACATGTGTGTGTTTTGTTTCATTTATTTCTAAAGGTGGGCTTGGTCCTTTTGTGTCGTGGCCATTTGGAGGAGAAATATCGTTATCTATTCCGTTTAATTGCCGATCCCGAACGTAAAATAGATCAACGCAAATTGGGTTTGCTGTTGCATGATTGTATTCAGGTAAGGGATTTATTTATAAAGAATATAAATGATTTGAAAATTAAATTATATTATTTTTGGTAAATATTCGTTTGTAATCTTTAGGTACCTCGCCAATTAGGTGAAGTAGCTGCTTTTGGCGGTTCAAACATTGAACCATCAGTACGTTCCTGCTTAGAGAGAGCTGGTATTTCTCAAGAAGGTAAGATAACACACTTTCATATTTAAAGAAAACTAAATGGGTTTCTTCAGGAAAGATAACATTGATTATTAACTTTAAAAATTGTCCAGCTCTGAAATTTCGTAACAAATGGCTACTAAGGTCCTTGTGAAGTTTGGATAAAAGAAAATGATCCTAAAAATTTGCGATTATAGATTTTCTATAAAAATCCGACAAAGGTAATTTTAAAATAAAAAATAAAGGAAAATTATCGTCGGATGGCATTCTCTCGCAGTGCGGATCGTAGCTCTTCATATAATATCTTTAGCTTCAGTCATTGACTTCACCTCCTAAATCCTTTCCGTTAAAATTCTTTGTGAAGTTCCAAAATTGCCACCTGATTTTCAAAATTAATCTACCCGCATTGTTGATTTGCGTTTCGCAGCTCCTCAGATAACTTATGCAGATAATACCCCTCTCAAAAATTTCTTCGATTACTTGGGTTGGCTTTGCATCTTCCCATGTAAGGTTATTTGGTTTTTTTTTATAACCTTCACCACACTGTGGTACAGGGTATTATGTCTTTGTGCATATGTTTGTAACAGGCAAAAATAATCGAGATAGACCCATGGTTCCTTTTGAGAATATGCATATAATCACTTTCTAAGTAAATTTATGCATGGCCCTCCGTCTGTCTGTCCATGTTAAATTGTAAACAAAGCACAGGTCGCATTTATGATCCGAATTGGATGAAATTTGGCACAGCTCATTTGTTTGGCCCAAGGACGAATCCTATTGAAATTGGGAAAAATCGGTTCAGATTTAGCAAATCGAAAGATATATAGGGACTTGGTGCACCATTTACCTTTAAGGTAAATGGTGCACCAAGTCCCTATATATCTTTCGATTTGCACGAAATTTGGCACAGCGTAATGAATAAGGTCACGAATGATGTGTGCAAAGTTTCGCGAAAATCGGTTCAGATTTAGATATAGCTCCCATATATATCTTCGTCCCATTTAAGGTAAATGGTGCACCAAAGTCCCTATATATCTTTCGATTTGCACGATATTTGGCACAACGTACTAAATTAAGTCTAGAATGATATGTGCAAAGTATCGTGAAAGTCGGTTCAGATTTAGATATAGCTCCCATATATAGCTTCGCCCGATTTTAAGTAAATAGTCCACTAAAGTCCCTGGAAATCTTTTGATGTGCACGAAATTCGGCACAGAGTTATGAGTAAGATCGAGAATGATGTCTGCCAAGTTTCAGGAAAATCGGTTCAGATTTAGATATAGCTCCCATATGTATTTTCATCCGATTTAAGGTAATTGGTGCACCAAAGACCCTATATATCTTTCGATTTGCACGAATTTTGGTATAGGGTACTGAATTAAGTCTAGAATGGTGTTGCTAACCTTCGTAAAAAGATCCATAGCTAGTCCGATGACACAACGTACTGATTTATATAAATTAGTTTCTGGCAAGTTTCCCTAAAATCGGTTCAGATATAGATTTAAAACAAAACGCGTCGTCTGTTAGGATACACATGTAAAATATACCCAAAGTGGTGAAGGGTATCATTTAGTCGGCCCAGTCCGACTTTACTACTTTCCTTACTGGTTTTTCTGTGGTTATTGTTCGTCACCAGGCTTTCCTGGATATATGTGATCTTCACCATACACATTGCAGTCATCCTCTTTGACTATTTCTGCACCAGCACTCGTTGATATTTATTCAAATGCTTGGCCTAATTTACATGACCAAGTCCATCATTACGAGTCAGTCTCCCCAGGTCTTCCAATTTGGACAGCATTTTGCAAATCTTATGAGCAAATTCTCTGAAATTCGATGGTGAATATCGCCGTCGAATAGAACACCATCACTCTATTCTCGGACTTCGACATAGTTCGAGCTGCAGCAACTACGGTGGCTAGGTCATTTTGTGAGAATGGATGAGGATGCCCCAACTCAAAAGACATATAAAAGCGAACCAACTGTTGGTTCGCGATGGTAAAGTTACAAATTTGATGGCAAAATCAAGTGGAAGACAAAATTTTGAAACAGGGTCTTTCAAATTGGAAAAGCTGCTCGCTTGGCTTATGGAACAAATGTCTGTCTCGAACCAGCTAAGTCGTTTCGTTCCTGAAGCGTTTCGATATTGTTCGGTTCGCTCTGCAAAAGGAATTCGTTCCGTTTAGTTCAATTGTTCATTGGCACTCGTCAGTTGATTCGATTAATGAACGGAAGATCTAGATGAACGATTGTATAAAATGGAACTAGAAAGAACAAAAAGAACGACTGTAGCAAAGGGAAGTAGTAGATGAACGAAAGCCCTGAACCTAGTACTGATCGTTCCTTTTACGGAATAGTTCTTTTGAACTAGTTCATTTCGGAACAGCATATTTTCCTTTGGTCAGCTATGTTATATCGATTATCCGATGTAGCTGTCTGGCTATCTGCATCCTAGTCCGATTACCGCTTCTGATTTTATTTGAAATAATGTTTCACTAATGTGCTAGGCTAACATAGAAATCTTAGGGTATCTTATTCTGTACACTTATCATTTAGAACTACCTGATCCCTTTCTGAGTGCATTATCATTTGGGCATTGACTTTATTATCGGCTGCTCACATCGCTTATGCTGCATCTGATATCCGGTGTAGCTTTCTCATGTTATTCTGGCTGACGGCTTCCTAGGCATACAAAGAAATCTTATAGTATCAGAATCTATGTACTTATCATAATATTTCACTCATGTGCCATGCTAACATAGAAATCTTAGGGTATCTTATTCTGTACACTTATCACTTCGAACTACCTGATCCTTTGCTAAATGCATTATCAGTTGGACATTAACTTTATTATCGGTTACTCACATCGCTTATGATGCATCTGCTGTCCGGTTTTGCTTTCTAACAAAGAAATCTTAGAGTATCAGATTCTATGCAATTATCACTAGAACCACCTAGTCCATTGCTGAGTGCATTATCACTTGGGCATTGACTTTATTATCAGATCACCATATCACTTATATTGCCCATAAATATACATATTAATGTTCTTCGACAAGTTATGCTCATATATTGAAGAGCATTATCCATATTCCGATCTCGCCTATTTTTTTCTATTTTTTTTTTTTTTTTTTGCCCGATCTTCTAGGAACTTCCTGTCTTTTCTTATGACTTTCTCCACTTGTTTTGTTGATACTGCTCTCTTGTGATATAGTTTTTCTTGTTCAACTGCATCTTAAGTTCGCCTCTGTGAGAAATTCGGTTCCGAATCCTGCAGAGAGTTTTGAAACAGAGAACGAAGTTCTGCTACAATTTTATTTATTTCCAAACTTTGCTTTAATTATTTTAAAATATTTACTTTTTACCTTTTCTGGTCACTCAAAATAAACCGGTCAAGTTGTCTCTACGTCTAGTAACTTTCCCGCAAAAAGTTCTTAATTATATTTCCCTCCTCAGACTTCTCTGGAGAACCATTTGTCCATTCCCTGCATTATTTAAATATGCATTTGGTCTCTTTTCATTTGCATAAATAATTTGCATAGCTGGCTCCTTGTTTTTGAAAAGTAAATGTACTGCTATATTTGTTCAAGAGGAGCAGGGTGGTAATGGTGATGGCACACTCCCATTGCATGTTCCGCAAAAACTTTATGTCTGGCAAACTATTTTTGAAAGTTAAGAAAACATAGAACAAAATTTTTACCATTTATCGTTATCATGTCAGTTAACACATTGACACTAATTACAATTTAAACATTCTTCCTCTTCTTTTTTTTCATATATATTGTGTTTACTTGCCTTGGGCCTGAATGGACGCACACACACACATCCTCTTCCATGCTTCGTATATCCCACTACTACAGCAATTGATTCCAATCAAGAACTTTCGATTGAATTACATCACTTCCTGGCTTGGTTACAGCACGAACCACAAAGTTTAGTTTGGCTACCGGTATTGCATCGTTTGGCAGCTGCCGAAAGTGCTAAACATCAGGTAAGTAAAAGAGTTTACACACAACCGGATGGTAGAAGTAGAAGTTCGGCCAAGTGCAGAACGCTCTGGCCAGCCACTACTGGCCTGGGTAAAACTTGGCACTTAATTAACACTTGAGTTGTCTATGAGGATGTTTAAATATGTGTTTTTCATATACTCTAATGTTTGTTTTAACTCTCCTCCTTCTTCCGCATCTCTTCACCACCTTCACGTCCGTTCTCTCTCTAGGCCAAATGTAACATATGCAAAGAGTATCCAATTGTTGGCTTCCGTTATCGTTGCCTTAAGTGCTTCAATTTTGACATGTGCCAAAAGTGTTTCTTCTTTGGACGTAATGCCAAAAATCATAAACTAAGTCATCCCATGCATGAATACTGTACAACGGTAAGTGGTAGTCCTGTTCGTTGTCGGACGAAAACGGATATTGGCAAAGTAATGAAAACGGAAAAATAAAATTTTGTTTGCTCTCTCTCTCCCCTTCTCCCACTACAGACCACATCGACAGAAGATGTTCGAGATTTCACTCGAGCCCTGAAGAACAAATTCAAGTCACGCAAATATTTCAAGAAACATCCTAGGGTAGGCTACTTGCCCGTTCAAAGTGTATTGGAGGGCGATGCCTTGGAAAGTCCAGCACCCAGTCCACAACACACCACCCACACGCTACAAAATGATATGCACTCAAGACTGGAAATGTATGCCACTCGTTTGGCCCAAGTGGAATATGGTGGTGGTACTGGTTCCAATTCCACCCCAGATAGTGATGATGAACATCAGCTAATTGCTCAATATTGTATGGCACTGCCAACAAATAATGGTGCTGCTCCCAAATCTCCAGTGCAAGTTATGGCCGCCATGGATGCTGAACAGAGAGAAGAATTGGAGGCGATTATACGCGACCTCGAGGAGGAGAATTCCAATTTACAGGCTGAATATCAACAGCTGATGACCAAACAACAGAGTACCACACCTGATGATGGCACCGGTATGCAACATTCCAACTCCTCGGTGGGTGGTCTAGCGGCAAGTGGCAACAACCAAGGAGAACATGGACAGGTAAGATCAATAACAATTATAATGAAAAATATTTCTTAAATTTCCTTCCTACTCTCCTGCAGGACATGATGGCCGAAGCCAAATTATTGCGTCAACACAAAGGTCGCCTGGAGGCCCGCATGCAAATTCTCGAAGATCACAATCGCCAATTGGAGGCCCAGCTGCAACGTCTACGCCAATTGTTGGATGAACCAAATAATGGTGGCAACGCCAGCACTCCCGGCTCTGCATTGAATTCCAAACCGAATACCCTGCAAACACGTTCGGTAACCGCTTCACAATTGAACACCGACTCACCGGCCAAGATGAATCAACAAAATGGCCATTATGACCAGAACACAAGTGAGTAATCGACAATACCCCCGCGAACACACACATTTTAATAAATTAAAAATATTCTCTCTCTAAAAAATTTGCCAAAAGATTCCATAATCATTGCTTTGGAATTTAATAAAATCTATGAAAATATCAACAAGCTAATGAATCCCTGAACGTGGTTTACCGACCAATATCAGCAACAAGTAAAATTACAAACCGAACTACGATTACTACTCATTGTTGCCATAGCATTTTTGGTGGTAATACATTTTACGAATTCATTCGAATCATGGAAACATTTTCTTTTTTTCGTTTAATGAAAAAAAATACAAATTTGTTTCCCTCGACGCATCCTCTGTTTTCCATAAATTGTATTTTGAAAAAAATCCCGGTATTTTTTTGTTATTATCAAAAAATATCTGTGTGATATTTATTCAAAGCATGCATGGCTTGTTCACTGTTACTGTCGACAATTCATCCTTTTTTATTTCTCTAGACAAATTCAATTCAAATCATAGATTTTTGGTTTTAGAAAAGCGCTCCAAAGGAAACAGCTGATTAACAAAATATTGAACAATATCCACAAGAATCAGCTGGCTAATTTATGGATCATTGTTCCTGTACGAGGTTAATTATTTCATTTAAATCACAAATGTTTTGTGGTTCACTTTTCCTAAAATGAAAAGCGATCCACAAGAATCAGCTGATTGATAAAATGTTCAGATGATAAGTCGTGTAGCTAACGTATACATTCGTAAAAACTAGGTAGTTAACCCAATATTTCATTCATAATTTATTCTATTTAATTTAAATCAGAGTTTTCTTGGTTTCACTTTTCATAAGCAGAAAAGCGTTCCAAAAGAATCAGCTGATTGATACAATTTTAATGTGATTAGTCTTATACGTAACGTATAGTAAGCAATATCACACAATATAGACAAGAATCAGCAGATTAACAAATAACCAAATCCACATTCAATCAAAAGCCTTCGAATTATATTTTGGCGTTCCATGAGAATCAGCTGACTTATGTCCATATATTTGCTGATAGGAATATATAATCTCAAGGTAGCTCTTATTTTCTTTAAGTGTCCTCTTAATTTCAAAGATCTTCTCAAAAAAAACGATCCAAGGAATTCAGCTGACTGCGAAAAATATTTGCTAGTTGCAAATAGTACATTTGCACTAATTGCAGCCAATTATATTCCGATGTATTTACATTTTCTTATTATGATCCATGTATTCAGTATACATTCATCAAAATGGTTTTTTAACTCAATTTCAAATTAAAAAGCGATCTAAAGAGTACACCCTCCTGGAAACAATATCTGCTCGTTGTAAGTAATGTTGTTGCCTCTAGATCTGCGTCGGATTATAGAAAAATAAATGGTGTGTTTTAAAATCCGCAATAATGTACATTTTTTTACTACGATAACAATTTTTCACTTATGATATCGAAGAAAATAATAAAAAGCCTTTTTTAGGAAAATCGAAAGCGCTCCACAATTATCAGCTGATTATAGCTATGACACTGGCTAAGTCCTGTACAAATTGAAACTTTTTCCTTAGAAAAATTCTGTGATCAACTACAAAACTATTTTATATAAAATTCTGTCACTGGATTTTAAGTAAGATTTTAAATAAAATTCAAAACTGGGTTCAATTCTTATCCAGTTCATTGAGAGAGCGCTTTACAACTATAAGTCGATAATTAAGATTTTCTTGTTTTCGATTCTAATTTAAGTGTCTAGTTAAGCTCAGCTGATTGATGTGCGCGTTTTTCTGTTAATAAAAAACGATTCAAAATTAATAACCCAATCGATTCCCAATTTTTACACGTTTCTCTGTGGTGTATAGCTATCGTATAATGAAAAAGCCAATTGAAGTATCTTTTATTTTTTAACTTGGTTTTTGGTAAAAAATGTCAATTCCATAGCGTATTTTCAAACTGGCCATTTTGTTAATTTTAGAACGAACTTTTGAAATCAGAGAGAGCCAGGCATGTACTCTTTCTAACGCCGTTGGAATTTTTTCATGTTCTTGAGGAGTTATCATTGTTTTACCATAATTTTTAATTACAAAAAAACAACAACTTTACAAAAAATTTTTGTAAATTATTTTTCTTCTCTTTTAAATCTTCAATTATATATGTGCAAAGTTACAAACCTGAATAAGCATTTGTATTGATTTACCATTGAAAATCTTGAAATATTTTTGGACTTGATGTTGCAATAAAATAAATATAGTTAATTTGAACGAATTTTTAGATTTTCTCAAATAAAAAGCGGTCCAAGGATCAAAATTAAAAGGCGATCCAAAGAGTACAGCTGATATTTATTCATTGTAGATAGAGTTCTTGCCTCTAGATCTGCTTTGAATTATGAGAATATAAACGGTCTGCTCGAGAACCTGCAAAAAAATTATTTTTTTACTACGATAACAATTTTTCCTTTATAAAATAGTAGGTTCTTGTAGTCCGGGTATAGGCCAAAATTAAACAACATTTCTTTAGAAAATCAAAAGTGCTCCACAATTATCAGCTGATTATAGATATGACACTGGTTAAATCCCTTACAATATGAACATTTTTCTTTCAGAATATCCTGTTATCAATCACAAATCTGCTCCACTTGTTTCAGGAAAATCAAAAGCGCTCCACAATTACCTGCTGATTAGAACGTTGATATATACATAATAAAACATGGCATCGAACACATTAAGGATTTCAATAATAGTTCAAAAATTGAGCCCAAACTTTTTCCAGCTGACTGACAGCTATTTTTGAACTTTACAAATAAATTTATATCTCGATTTTATTGCTATAAGCTGTGATTCTAATTTAACTGCCCAGCAAAGCTCAGCCTGGTGGCTGCTAAACTTATTTCTAAAAAAAACCAAAAGCGCTCCACAATTATCTGCTGATTATAGCTATGACACTGGTTAAATCCTGTCTCCACCTAACTTGCAAATATAATTTTAGATATATAAAAAATCAGCGCCCAATCACTATATCAAAAACAAAAAGTATACAGCTGATTTATATACAAAATTAATGAAAAACGTAACGTGTCGTAACGTAACAACGTTATAAAACCCTCAAACCTATATTATACATAAAACGGAAAAATTGTCTATAATCACCAAATTATTGTTTTTAAATTCATCACAAATCTTGTTCTCTCCTTTCTTGTCGTTTATCCATTTCTTTCTTCGTTTTATCCATTTGTTGTCTTTGATTTTGGCTAACCATTTGTAATGCATAAACCTTGAAACATGAAACAACCATACATGCCATATCGTACCATCGCACCACCAAACAACTATCGTCGATCCATCACACCGATCAACAACAACACCACCGAATATTAGTGGGTATGATGATGTCGGGCATGAATGATCCACATGCCATGGTTCCTGGTATGGTGGGTGGTGGACCAGCAGGCGTAAATGTTCCTGGTATGGGTAAACATCATATTATGGCTGGACCACCAGGAGCACCACCACCGATTCCCGGTCAATTGCATGGTCTCCAACAACAACAGCAGCAGCCGCAACGTAATATTATTAGCGGTAATGGTGGTTTAGATATAAATTCTGGTATGCCTGGCGTTACACCTGGAGGTTTAATGAGCGCCTATCTAACGGATGATGGAAGACCACCGCCACCACCTCACAGCAGTATGTTACAACAAAAACAACATAGTGGTAGGCCAATAAAATGGCTAAAATTTACACTATTGATTGATTGCTTGATACATTTTGAGTTGGATTTGGATTTGAATTTTTCTTTGTTGTTTTGTTTGAGTTGTAGTTTGATGTTGAAGTTTGATTATTTTTGGATTTTTATTCCTACCTATAAAGCTCCCATATTTTCTTTAATTCGAAGGAGGCAATTTTCTGCTACTAAGTACTAAGGAGGCAAATTGTAATTAAATCCTCGAAGTCTCCATAAGCCGAAGGTTTTTATTCGAGATAATGGTGTCTCGAGTTGTGGAAGTTCGACTGTATTTTTATTTATGTTCGAAATGTTACCCTAGACCATTTTTTTTATTTTCTTATTAATTTCCTAGCATTACATTTTTGCATCCAATTTTAATTTTTGTCCTAATTTTTTGTTGTATCAATATTTTTTTTAAATATCCACCTCTAATAAAAATCAATGCTATATTTGTTCTTCTCATTTTTCTACGCTTTCTCTTGGATTTTTTTCGCAATAAAAACAGAACATAATTAAATTTCCATATAAGAGGAAATTTATTATAACGATGATAAAAATGGTAATTTTTAAAAAATGTTGAAATACGATGTTGTGTGTTTAGTTTATAAGAAAGAAATACACCCCAACATGGTTAATAAATACATACATCACTAATTTTAATATATATATTTTTTTGTGTTAATGTGGCAACACTGGGCAACAAATATTTTTTTTAATTAAATATAATCGTATTTAATTAACATCCATCCTCACAACGACTAACATTTATTGAATGTTGTGCTAATTTTTCGAATCCAAATTTTAGGGTCTTTATTTTTTGGACCCTATATAAGATATGTGTCTTAGTGTTAGTGTAAGTTTTTCCATCCCTGATTGTCAGAAGCCCTTCTACCTAAAGAAGCCATTTTTAAGACCTTCCATCAATGGAAGTCCCTATAAAGGCTTTCTATCTATAGGAGACCGTTGGAAGGGCTTCCATATGTATGATCCCTTTTGAAAGCCTTTCATACTGTAAAAGAGGTTTTAAAGACCTTCCAAAGGCTTTCCATCCTTATAAAGACTTTCTATCTATAGAAGCCGTTTTTGAAGACCTTCCACCAATAGAAGCACTCTTGAAGACCTTCTATCTATGTAAGGCTCTTTGAGAACTTTCTATCAATAGAAGCCTTATAATGGCTTTTTATCTACAGAAGACCGTTTGAAGGGCTTCCATATGGATGATCCCCTTAGAAGGCTTTTTTATACTGTAGAAGGCCTTTCATATATAAAAACCCTTTTTAAAGGCCGACAATATGAAGCCATTTGAAGACCTACCATCAATAGAAGTTCTTGTAAAGGATTTCTATATATAGAAGCTTCCACGGTTTCCATATGTTTAATCCCTTTTGAAGGCATTCAATCTGTAGAGGCACATTTGAAGGCCATCCATTTTGAAGACCTTCCATCTACAGAAACCATTTTTAGGACCTTCCATCAATAGAAGTCCTTATAAAGGCTTCCTAGTTATAGAAGATCGTTGGAAGGACTTTTATATGGAATCATGCATTTATATGGAATCATTTGAAGGACACATTTGAATGCCTTTCATAATGTAGAAGCCCTTTTGAAGACCTTCCATCTGCAGAAGCCCTTTTTAAAAAAGCCCTTTTGAAGACCTTCCATCTATAGAAGCCATTTTTAGGACCTTCCGTCAATAGAAGTCCATATAAAGGCTTTCTATCTATAGAAGAAGAGCTTCCATGTATATGATCCCCTTTCAAGTCCTTTCATACTTTAGAAGCCACTCTGAAGGCCTTCAGTCTATAGAAGACGTTTTGAGGACCTACTATCTATAAAATCCGTTTTTAGTGCCGACAATATATAGAATCCCTTTTTTAAGACCTTCCATCAATATAAGTCCTTATAAAGACCTTCTATCCATTTGAGAGGCTTCCATATGTATGATCCCTTTTGAAGGCTTCCTAGTTATAGAAGATCGTTGGAAGGACTTTTATATGCATGATTCCATTTGAAGGCCTTTCATATTGTAGAAGCCCTTTTGAAGACCTTCCATCTGCAGAAGCCCTTTTTAGAAAAGCCCTTTTGAAGACCTTCCATCTATTGAAGTAATTTTTAGGACCTTCCGTCAATAGAAGTCCTTATAAAGGCTTTCTATCTATAGAAGAAGGCTTCCGTATATGTTCCCTTTTGAAGTCCTTTCATACTTTAGAAGCCCTTTTGAAGGCCTTCAGTCTATAGAAGACCTTTTGAGGACCTACTATCTATAAAAGCCCTTCTTTTAGTGCCGACAATATATAGAATCCCTTTTTTAAGACCTTCCATCAGTATATGTCCTTATAAAGACCTCCTATCCTTTTTAAGGCCTTCAAACTGTAAAAACCCCTTTGAAGTCCTTCAAACTGTAGAAGCCCTTCCATCTATATAAGCCCTTTTGATGGCCTTCTTTTTATAGAAGTCCTTTTGAAGACCTTCCATATAAAGAAGTCCTTATGAAGGCTTTTTATCTATAGAAGACCGTTTGATTCCTTTTGAAGGCCTTTCATACCGTAGAAGTCCTTTTGGATGCCTTTCATCTTCAGAGGCCCTTTTGAATGCCTTCCACCTATAGAAGCCCTTTTGGAAAGCCTTCCATTTATAGAAGCCATTTTTAGGACCTTCCGTCAATAGAAGTCCATGTAAAGGCTTTCTATTTATAGAAGAAGGGCTTCCATGTATATGATCCCCTTTGAAGTCCTTTCATACTTTAGAAGCCTTCAGTCTATAGAAGACCTTTGGAGGACATACTATCTATAAAAGCCATTTTTTTAGTGCCGACAATATATAGAATTATTTTTTAAGACCTTCCATCAATATACGTCCTTATAAAGACCTTCCATCAGTATATGTCCTTATAAAGACCCTCTATCCGTTTGATATGTATGATCCCCTTTGAAGCCCTTCTGAAGGCCTTTCATACTGTAGAAGCCCTTCCATCTATATAAGCCCTTTTGAAAGCCTTCTTTTTATAGAAGTCCTTTTGAAGACCTTCCATCTAAAGAAGTCCTTATGAAGGCTTTTTATCTATAGAAGACCGTTTGATTCCTTTTGAAGGCCTTTCATACTGTAGAAGTTCTTTTGGGTGCCTTTCATCTTCAGAGGCCCTTTTGAAGACCTTCCATCTATAGAAGCCCTTTTGAAAGCCTTCTTTTTATAGAAGTCCTTTTGAAGGCCTTTGAAACTCTAGAAGTCCTTATGAAGGCTTTTTATCTATAGAAGACCGTTTGATTCCTTTTGAAGGCCTTTAATACTGTAGAAGTCCTTTTGGGTGCCTTTCATCTTCAGAGGCCCTTTTTGAAAGCCTTCCATTTATAGAAGCCCTTTTAACGATCCTCCATTTTTAGAAGCCATTTTGAGTACCTCACATCAATAGTAGTCTTTATAAAGGCTTTCTATCTATAGAAGACCGTTTGGAGGGTTTCCGTATGTGTTATCCCTTTTGAAGGCCTTTCATACTTAAGAAGCCCTTATGAAGACCATAAGAATGCCTTTCAAGTGTAAAAGTCCTTCCGTCTATTGAAGACCCTTTGAAGACCTTCCATCCATATAGAAGCCTGCCAGTCATAGAAGCCCTTTTGAAGATCTCTAGAAGACATTAAGAATGCCTTCCGTGTGTAAAAGTCCTTTCGTCTATTGAAGACCCTTTGAAGACCTTCAATCCATAGAAGGCACTATGAAGGCCGGCTATATATAGAAGCCTGCCATTCATAGAAGCCCTTATGAAGGCTCTCTAGAAGACCATAAGAATGCCTTCCGTGTGTAAAAGTCCTTCCGTCTATTGAAGACCCTTTCAAGACCTTCCATCCATAGAAGGCACTATGAAGGACGGCTATATATAGAAGCCTGCCATTCATAGAAGCCCTTTTGGAGGTCTACCAATTATATAACACCGTTTTGAAGACCCCTTACACCCATCCCCGATTTTTCTAAAAATGTTGCCCAGTGTGTGTGTGTGTAAAAAAGCTTACAAAACTCAGCATGTTATTGTTGTATGGTGTAAAGGATATTGAATGTAAAATTTTTATATTTAATTTTGAAATAAAAAAAATTAATTTCCATTTTTTTCTCCCTTCTCTCTTCCCCACTTGTTTTGCAGAGGCCATAGGCAAAGCTGTTGAAGAATTGGTAACCGTTATTACCGAACAAGAAATTGAACAAACTTTGGAGGAAGATTTGGAGGAAACCACTGAAACTGAGCAGGTCAGTAACAGCAACAACAACAATAACAACGATTATGATGATGAAACGACGACGACTACTACGATTACAACAATAACAGAGGATGCTAGCGAAACCACAACAACAACAACAAATAGCAATTTAAGCCAATTGACAAAGACGACGCCCAAGGCTGCCTCAACGCCATTTGCATATAAAAATTAGAGGATCTACCCCCCCAAAAAAACACAGATTAGAAAATTTAATTGAAAAAACACGAAACGAAAATCATGAAGAATGAAAATTTGAAAAAAATATGAAACAAATTAAAAAAATATATTAAATTATCATACATACAAAAATAATAATGATTATATATAAACAAAAATATAAAAGTACTGTGTATTTTGTTTAAAATAAAAAATAATAATAATACAAATATAAACAAAATAATCAAACATAATCATGAAAATTTAAAAAAAAAACAAATATCAGAAGCAAACAAATGTGTAATATTTAAAATTAAAGTATATAAGCTAAATATAAATAAAAAAATTAAAACAAAAAAAATCATAAAAATATTCTACAACAACAGAAAATAATTAAAAAGAAAACAACAAATCTAACATAAAATAATAAAATTTATATTTAATTATAAAAATGAAAAGAAAATTATAATTTTATTAATTATAATTTTTAATTATTATTGTCATATTATTTTTTTGCAATATTTATAAAATAAGCAATGGAAAGCCAATACAAAAATATAAAAGTAATTATAAAAATAATATTAAAAGAAAAATTAAATAATTATAAATATTAAAAAACAACACACACATAAAAAATACAAATCAAGAAGAAAACTACATATTATGTTTATAAAAACAACAACAACAAAATATCATTATTATAAAAAACAACAACTACATATTATGTTTATAAAAACAAAAACCACAAAAATTATCATTATTACGAAACAGAAACAAATATTTAAATTAAAGAATTGAATTCTTGTGTTTTAGTTTGTTAAGTTTTTTAAAATAAAAATAAATATACATATATACTTTATTGTCATATAAAAATATACAAATTTAAATTTCTTTTAATTTTTTTGCTTTGCAGCTATTTTTTATTAAGTTTTAATTTTTTTCGCCCAAAAAAAAATATTTTTTGTTTTTGTAAATCTTTTTAAAAAAATTATATATAAAAATTAATATAAATATTAAAATATTATTATCGAAACAGAAATTGTATATTATTTTTAAAATTTTGTTTCTTTCCAAAAACCAACACACACACAAACCACTTAATTATGCCTTTTTAAAAATATATATTTTTGTTTTAAGTTTTAAATAAATAATTTT